ACCCTGGTGGGACATGGTGGGATCTGGTGGGACCTGGTGGGACCCTGGTAGGACCCTGGTGGGACCTGGTGGGATCCCAGTGGGACCCTGGTAGGACCCTGGTGGGACCTGGCGGGACCCTGGTGGGACCCTGGTGTGACCCTGGTAGGACCCTGGTGGGACCTGGTAGGACCTTAGTGAGAACCTGGTAGAACCCTGGTGAAATCCCAGTGGGACCTGGTAGGACCCTAGTAGGACCCTATGCAAGAACAGAAACTCCATCCAGACAGCTACTGAGTGTCCTGAGTGGACATAATGTAGTTTCTTTTTTACTTTCACCTAATTTTTTTTTTAAGCAAAGGACCATAATCAAAGAGAACAAAGATGCAGAGGTAGGCCCGTAGGCCTTCCTCTCTGTCGTTTAATTCTAGTTAATGGGATTTTCTGTCACTTCTCCAAGTGACAGAATTCTGTCTCTTTGAAATCAAAGGCCCTTTTGGCAACTCACCAAAACTCACCAGAAATCAGCATGGTTTCTCTGTGAGTCTAGGTTGGTTTTGGTTTTGGTTGGTTTGCCCATCTAGTAGGGTTTGTTTATTGGTGTTTGTTTTGTTGTTTTGGGTTACTTTTTGTTTTTATACATCTTAGGTCCTTATTGTATCACTTTATAGTTACAATCAAATCATCATTTTGCATTTCATTAGATTCCTAAAATGGAAAGTTACTCCCTGCTTGCTTCCTTCACGGGAAGGGTTTGCTTTTCTGGTGAGCTGGCTGTGGAATAAACAACCATGTAATAATAAGTCTGCACTTAAGACCTTGGTTGGCTGGTTTAACTTTTGCCTTATATAATGCTTCACTTCATGAAAAAGAAGACAATGCACAGGTCTTAGGAATATGGCATTTGTAAGAAAGGATCCCAGCTTGCCTCAGGGCTCATGGGAGACTCATACAGAGAGCACCCCCTTCTGTCAACTAACCTGTCACCCACTCTCCACACAATCTAGCTGACTGTGGGCAACTGCAGGCGGAGCTGGACCTGTCCATCTCTGCAGACAAAAGGAAAGAAACAGCGTGTAAACCAGAGATTGCATATGGTAAGTGCAGACATTCAGTAGAGTTAAACATGAAATTTCATCATACATGTTTAGTTAGAAATATGGAGCACTGCACGTGAGTGACGTTGTGTGGATAGAACATTTCTTTGAGTCCCTTGAAGGAAAATGTCTTCAACTTTCAGCATTAAGATACAAAGTTATATGGTATTCAGCAAAGAAGTACGATTTTCCATTAAAGATAATCAGAGAAACAAGTGTCCAGCAAGACACTTCCCTTACCAGGTCCTTCTCAAAAGATGTACTACACTTATTCCAAGAAAACATTTGAAAAAAAACACAGAAGTTGGGGCCTAAGGAATGGCTCAGTGGTTAGGCATATGTAATGCTCTTCCATAGGCACCCATGCTGGACAGCTGCCAACCTCCCATAACTCCCTCTTCAGAGATCCAAGATGTCCGGCCTCCATGAGCAACTGCATTTGTGTGTACTAATGCATCCCCCCCCCATACACACCAAATTTAAAAATAACAAGAAAGGAAGGAACAAACATGTAGGTGCACGTTCATTTCCTGGCCGCCCAGACCCGAACAAGCACACAGAAACTACAATACTGTTGGCCAATAGCTTAGGCATATTCCTAGCTAGCTCTTACATCTTAAATTAACCCATTTCTATTAAATCTGTGTACCACCATGAGGCTGTGACCTACTGGTAAGGTTCTGGCATCTTTCTCCTTCAGCAGCTACATGGCATCTGCCTGACTCTGCCTTCTTTCTCCCAGCATTCAGTTTAATTTTCCTGCCTATCTCTATTCTGCCCTGCCCATAGGCCAAAGTAGCTTCTTTATTAACCAATGGTAATAAAACATTCACAGCATACAGAGGGGAATCCCACACCACAAAGGCAAGCAGGAAGGAAGGAAGGAAGGAAGGCAGTCCATAGAGTCTTAGGATCTCAACAATGGGTTCTTCCAGTGGAGACAGTAGAGTAGGGAGCTACTAAATAATTTTTGATATGTACGGTGTTGCTATCTGTGCTTGGGACTCTCCTCATTTCTCATTATCTAAGTTCACATGGATGGCTAGAGGCTGTAGCAAGTCCCTGAGAGAATTAAATCCTCCTGGTGATTTGAATGAGAATGACCTCCATAGACTCCATACATTTGAAAACTTGGTCCTTAGTTGATAGACCTGTTTGGGAAGGAGGTATGTCGCTGGGGACAGGCTTCAGAGTTTCCAAAGTCCATGCTATTCCCAGGTTCTCTCTCTCTGGAGATACAAGCTGTCCTGTCTCCATGCCTTTTCTCTGCCATCATGGGTTCTAATGCTGAAGTCATAGGCCACAAATAAACTCTTCCTTCTGAGTGGCTTTGATCCATGTATCTTATCACTGCAGTAGAAAACTAAGTAACTAAAAAATCGACTACTTGGGGGTTAGAGTACTGACTGCTCTTCCAGAGGACCCAGGTTCAATTCCCAGCACCCACATGGTTGTCTGTAACTATCTACAACTCCAATATGGAGAAAAAAGAAGAAAGGGAGGGAGGGAGGGAGGGAGGGAGGGAGGGGGGGAGGGAGGGAAAAACTAAATAAGTCACTCCTTTATCTTTGGAGTCAGATGCTGCCCATTGCGGTACAGGAACGTCTGCCTGCCTTCCATTCCCTATGTCTATTTCAGATGTTTCTGGTTTGCGTTTGGGGTGTTTTGGGGGGGGGGGTAATATTATACACTATTATTTTCAGATTCTTTCAGAAGATTCTTTCCAGTTTAAACACACACACAGCTGGTTTGGCTTTTTTGTATGTTTTGTATGTGGTTTTTCGCTGGACATCTTAGTTCCTTTTCCACTGCTGAAATAAAATACCATGACAAAAGCATCTAGGGAGAAAGGCTTCATTGTGGCTTGTTATCCCCCCCCCCAGCCCCATGGTGAGAAGACATGACCGCAGGCAGGGAAGGCACATTGCATCTTTACTCAGGAAACTGAAAGGGAACAGGAAGTGAGCCTTGTCTATAAAGCTGTAGGGCCCACCCCCAGTGACCTGCTTCCTCCACAAGGGCTTCATTTCTTAAAGGTTCCACAATCTTTCCACGCAACTTGGAAACAAGCATTCAAACACACTGTCTTTTTCTTTTATTAAAGAACTTATTTATTATGTATACAGTGTTCTGGAGGCATTTACTGAACTCCAGAAGAGGGCACCAGATCTCATTACAGATGGTTGTGAGCCACCATGTGGTTGCTAGGAACTGAACTCAGGACCTCTGGAAGAGCAACCAGTGCTCTTAACCTCTGAGCCATCTCTCCAGCCCCAAACACATGATGTTACAGAGGACATCTCACACTCAAACCAAAACATGAGTTCCATAAGGACCCTTTAAAGCAGCAGTTCTCAACCTGTGGGTCACTACCCCCTTAGGGCTGAATATCAGATATTTACATTATGATTCATAACAGTAGCAAAATTAAATAATTTTATTAATTTTTAAAATAATTTTATGGTTAGGAGTCACCACAACTTGAGAACTGTATCAGACGGTCTCAGCCTTAGGAAGGCTGAGAACCACTGATCTAGAGCATCAAACCACCGTCACTATTTCCAGTGAAGAAACTGAGGCTCAAGGAGGTTAAACGTTTGCCCGAGGCCATGAGGGACATAATGACAGGAATGGAGTGACTCTGGTCATGATCTGCAGAATGAATTCCTGTTATCAGAAGGAACTTCATTTCCTTCCTTTGAATTCTTCACTTTTTTTTTTAAATATTTATTTATTTGCTTATTATGTATACAGTATTCTTTCTTCAGTCCAGAAGAGGGCACCAGGCCTCATCCCAGATGGTTGTGAGCCACCATGTGGTCGCTGGGAATTGAACTCAGGACCTTTGGAAGAGCAGGCAATGCTCTTAACCTCTGAGCCATCTCTCCAGCCCCCTTCACTTTTTTTTTTCTAATCTAATAATTGACTGAGGGGTTTGGGAAGATCCATGAAAAAAATGAGCTTCACCCCAGGGTGCCCTGATACCTGCCATCCACGTTCCTCCTCTGATGACAAGCCCCGGCTTCTCCTGGTGGTGTTCAGTCGGAGTTGCCTCATTTTGTCCTGTTTTGTTTTTACCAGCTTATAAAGTTAGGATCACATCCACCACTGAAGAAAACGTTTTTGTCAAATACACTGCGACTCTTCTGGATATTTACAAAACAGGTGAGATCTCCTCTCCCCACCTCAGCCTTTAGTGCATCATACCAGCCAGACACTGCGTCAGACGTGGGGGCAGGCGCTGCGTCGGACGTGGGGGCAGGCGCTGCGTCGCACGTAGGGGCAATGACTTGAAAACAGTCACGGGGTTTCACCCTCAATAAGTTTCTGTTTCTCATTGAATTATCTTATCACAGATTTCAGCAAATGCTATGTCAACATAACCATCTTTAGCTTTTGTGTTCCATTTAAGTTTCTCAAAACACACATTTTATCGCGTTCATTAACGCATGCGTGTGTGTCTGTGGCATACATGAGGAGGTCAGAGGATGACTTGCAGGAGTTGGCTCTGTCCTTCCACCGTGTAACACCTGGGCCTTGAACTTGGGTCATCAGGCTTGGAGCCAAGTACCGTTCCTGCTGAGCCATCTTGCTGACCCTTAGAACACATCTAAAATTAAATAAGTATTGATTAAGTAGCTTAAGCTTATTGCCTTGTTGATATGTCCAAGCAGCCAATTTCTCATTTGAGTAAATATAAATTCTGCAGTAAGTAGGACCTGAAGTCTACAATGTAATATGTTTTTACTGATGTGTAGCTTTGTACATTCTGTCACAATGTCAGAAGATCCTTGGCTCAAATTGTTTGATACCAGTGCCCGCTTGCTATCCACGGACACCCAGATGGCTCTGATTTCACTTGCTGTCAGGTGGTCCCAGAGTCAAAACCCTCATTAGTGCCATTTCCTCTTTGTCCTATGGGTTCTGAAGATTAATTCCAGTAAACTTGAAAGGCTAAGCAAGTTTTTCGTACTTTATCTCCTCATCTTGGATGCTCATTTTAATGCTTATTAGAAATTTTGAATTCACAGAACTATCAGAAGCCCACAAGTGTCCTACTAACACAGAATCAAGGTACATTGATAAACTGATATTTCTATCCATTCGAGGATGCTAGGAGCAGGGGAGAACCCAGGACAGAAGGGAAGCTGTGTGCTCGCCGAAGTCAGCTATTCCCTGCTCTTTGGAACACTCAAAATGTTTCACTAACAGAAGGTTGTGAACTCTTAAGACCCAGGGTTGACACGCTGCTTTCTCTACTGTGGCCGGCCTGAGGGTGCTGGGAATGTGGCTCAGGCATTGCTACAACAGGAAGCTGTATCCCCAGACAGTCTGAAAAAAAAAACTTAGTTTGAAGTCCTGTGTGTATACGGGAATCTAGGGACCTAGAAAAAGCTATGTCTGCGGCAGTTATAGACCCCTGACTGACAGGTTCAAGAGGCAGGCTTTAACTGTTAGGGAGACTGTGTCACGGTTCAAGAGCTGAATAACGGCCCTTAATATTATAGCAGTAACTGAGGTGCGATCCCTGCCTCAAGATTCCAGTGTGTCTGAAGTCTGAGGCCACATGTGGAGCAGAACCCTGGAGTAGAGATTCAGATGTCCGCGCTGGGAGGTGACCCAGGGGTAAAAGCAGCAGCTGCTCAAACACGACGGCCTGAGTGCAGATCCCAGCACTTGTGTCGATCGCCAGATGTCGGGGTGCACATCTATGCGCCCCGCCCTGTGTGGAGCAAACGATCTGAGGGCTTCCTGGCCTTCAAGTTTAGTCAAAATGGCGACCCCTAGGTTAAGAGAAGTTGTCTCCAAAACTGAGATGGAAGATGATAGAGGAAACCATCCAAAGTCAACTTCTTGCCTTTATAATCATATACATATATACCAGAGAGAGACAGAGGGCAGAAGGGAGGAAGGAGAAGAGGGAGGGGAGGGAGAGATTAGATGGATTAAGGTGTAAAGATTAAAAGAGGTGAGTGAGGGACTGGGGATAGCTTGGTGGTAGAATGCTTCCCTAACAAGTTCAAGACCCTGAGTCAATCTCTGTTACTATTACAGCAAAGGTCCAAACAGGGCTTGGCTGATACCATGAGAAGTGAAGTGGGCTTAAACATACGTGAAACTCAACAGGCTAAACACGGGGAAGATTGCCTTCTGGGTAGAAGCAACACGCCCCGGCTAATTCTGAGTCCTTTAAGGAATCCAAAAGTTACCTTTCACAAAATTTGCCAGCCCGTCACATCACATGCTTTTCTAGAAAGTTGACCATTGCCTGCTACCAAATGCGTCCCTAATTATGAACATAGCACGTGGAGATAAATAGTGCACAACTACTGAGCAATAACTCTGTATCTCTGAGAAGTAGTAAGACTTAACAGCTCTTACTCAGCCCTCAGAACTTCTCATATGCTAGCCCTTACTAGAGGGCTCATAAATCAGTAAGCAGAGCCACACAGCAGGAAGTGGCTCCTGTGGGGTTTAACGCAGACAGCCTGACTGCGTTCTCCACCACAGGGCAGTGCCCCTCACCACCAGTGTTTGTCTTTCATGGTCATGAGGAACTGGGCAGCGTTAAAATGTGACTGTGCTAACCTTCCATCCTTGTCCCTCAGGGGAAGCCGCCACTGAGAAGGATTCTGAAATCACCTTCATTAGAAAGATGAGCTGTGCCAACGCCGCTCTGGTGAAGGGGAAGCAGTACCTCGTCATGGGCAAAGAGGCTCTGCAGATCAAGCACAACTTCAGTTTCAAGTGAGTCACCAGCATTCGCAGCCCGGCCTCTTCTCCAACCCGGGTGTGGCTCATTCTCCACTACTCTGGCACTCCAGCGATGCCTTAAGTTCAGCCCACAAAGCATCCTGAGTACGAACGAAGTATCTGGAATTTCACAGCACCTGCAGCCTTGGCTGAAAGCCAAACCATCCTCGTGACACAACCTGATGAGGAACTGAGAACGCAGGTCCACATCGCCTGACCACCCGCCAGCTCTCCCTCAGTGTGCAAAGAGTCCCTAGTGTAGAGAGAATGTTAAGACATGCTTTATCACCTGCACAGAGTGGGGCTCGGGGGCGGAGATGACAGCTTTGTCAGTGAAGCGCTTGCTATGCGAGCATGAGGAACCGAGATCAATGACCAGAACCCACGCTAAAAAATAAAAAAATTAAAATAAAAATGTAAAAAAGCAAAACAGGCATTTGGGGCTGGAGAGACAGCTCAAGTGTTTGAGAGCCCTGGCTGTTCTTCCAGAGGCCCCAGGTTCAATTCCCTGCACCACCATCTGTAACTCAAATTGCAGAGGAACTAATACTCTCGTCTGGGCTCTGCAAGCACCAGGCGTCACATGTGGTGCACAAACATCCAGGCAGACGAAGCACCCACACACATAAAATCATAACAAATAAATACTTTAAAAACAAAAACAAAACGAGGCATGGCGGTACACATGAGATCGCAGTGCTGCAGAGACAGAGACAGGTGGATCCCTGGGGCTTGCAGGGCAGGCCGCCACACCCCTTTGGCGAGTTCTAGGCCAGTAAGAGGTTTTGTCTTTAAAAAGACTAATGTAGACAATGTCTGAGGAACAGTGCCCAAGGCTGACCTCTGGCTTCTACAAGTACCTGCACACAAGTATAGACACACACTCCCACACTACACATTCTCACACACACACACACCATGTCCACCCACACACAAACACTCATACACATACCACATACACACACTCATACATGCACCACACACTTATACACACTCATATACCACACACACTTATACACACTACACAGTACACATCACACATTTATATATACTCACACACACACACATTTATACACTCATACACACACCACATACATGCTTACACACACCACACGCACATTCATACACACACTCACTCACACTCACTTGCCCACATCTGATCTCTTCCTAGGAAAATCAAGTACAGCGTTCCTCTGCCTGTGGCCACCATCACCGACACTGTTTCCATTTTGCCTTGACAGGTACATCTACCCTCTGGACTCCTCCACCTGGATTGAATACTGGCCCACAGACACGAACTGTCCATCATGTCCGGAGTTCGTAGCTAATCTGGAAGAGTTTGCTGAAGACATCTTTCTGAGCGGCTGTGAAAGCGCCTGAGGAACTTCCTCTGCATCGCTTTCCCCACGGACCGCGTTGGTGGCATTTTCTCCCCCCTGGAAGACACTCTTTCTTGGAAACTTATCCTAAATTTCACTGCACTTTCTTTTTAGTAAGGCACAACTTGAAGTTATGACTTTGTGAAATAACAGAGCCTGGTGGGGCCATGAAAATGGGTCCCCCAAGGTTATCAGGCATCGGCACCAATAAAGCGAACAACACTCAACACGGCAGTTGGAAGTGATTATTGGGACCTAAAAAGGAGACCCTGAAATGTAGCACCCTGTAAAAACAGCCTTTACGTGAAAGGAAAACACCAAGGGCGGAAACTGACCATGAAAACTTGACCTTGCACTCGAGTGCATTAAAAACTGTTATTCCGTGCTGGCTCAGCTTCAGGCACACAGAGAGGGGGACATGGCAGTGGAGAACCTTGACCCCTGAAGGCCACACTCGGAGCCCTGGGCTCCTGGGAAAGCAGGAGAGTTGCTCACTGCTGCCTCCCCCTCCAGCTCTCTCTGTACCCCTGACAGGAAAGCCTCTGTTCTCCCACACACACCTTGCTCCCTCTCTCAGCACATATCCATTTCCCCAGGAACTCACTCTTGCAGTAATTGCCCTACCAGAAGGCAGACCCCAGTGCAAAAACCCAGTGAAGGGAAACCAAGACTCCGGAGACTGTCGTTCTGGCCCAGACCTACTTTCTCTTGCATCCTAAGTTTGTGCTTTATACACTGTGTTGAGCGCGTTAGGTTAGGTCTTGTGGAAGCATTTTTCTAGATATCTGCATTCTGTGTCTCAGGAAGCACTCTGAGTATGCCGATGATCAGTATTCCCATTTTACAGCTGCCAAAATGGAGGCTCTAAAACATGAAGTAATTCCCCAGCCTAGCGTGAGGCAGAAGCAGAAATAGAAACCCAATAGTGTCCCACGTCCACACCCCTGCACAGCCCACGGCTTGCACTGGCTGATTTTCTACAATGTAAGGAAAATATAACCAGAGTTTCTTAAGCATAGGCTATCTAGCCCCACTGAGTTAACATAAGAAATGTGTAAATACGTCAGGTGATGTCATGGTAACAAGGACAAAAGGAATCTGCCTTCTACCAAGTCAATAAAATTATCTAAGGCCTCGCGGCTTGTCTCATCAATAGCAGGGACTTTTCTACTTCTAGGAACTAAGGACATTTTGGTGTCAAAGCCAAAAAGATGCCAAGCTGCACAGGATATGACTAAGAGGCAAGTGAGATGGAGGGCCTCCAGCTAAACATGTCTGCAGATGGCTCCCGCCTCTTCCTGCTGAACCAAAGGGGCATGGGGGGGGGGTCTGCTTCCAAGACACAAGTGTCCAAGCTGTGGGTCTCTGTCCCCAAGAGTGATGGCAAATAGGCCAAGCCAGTGACCAGCTTAAGCCATAAATGCAGCTGAATTGTTGCTAGCCTTCTGCCCTGTGTCCCCTGAGCACACCTCCTCCTGCCCTGTGTCTTCCAAGCACACCTCCTCCTGACCTGAGTCTCCTGAGCACACCTCCTCCTGTCTGTGTCTCCCGAGCACACCTCCTCCTGCCCTGAGTCTCCCGAGCACACCTCCTCCTATCTGTGTCTCCCGAGCACACCTCCTCCTGACCTGTGTCTCCCGAGCACACCTCCTCCTGTCTGTGTCTCCCGAGCACACCTCCTCCTGCCCTGAGTCTCCTGAGCACACCTCCTCCTGCCCTGAGTCTCCTGAGCACACCTCCTCCTGCCCTGAGTCTCCTGAGCACACCTCCTCCTGCCTGTGTCTCCTGAGAACACCTCTTCCTGCCTGTGTCTTCCGAGCACACCTCCTGCTCCCCGTGTCTCCCGAGCATACCTCCTTAATCGCATTTTGTGACACTCCAAACTAGGCCAAATCCTGACTCACCCTGCACCTCTCTTCCAAGGCACCTGTACACCTGCCAGGATTTAATCATATAGAATTGTGGAGCATGTTATCACCCTGAGTCCTTTATGAGCTGTTCATGGGCAAGATCTGCAACCACTCCATTCTCCTTTATTTCCAGGGCCTGGCACAATGCCCAGAACTTGACAGGGATCCAGGAAGCTCTCACTTGTGGGTTTCTTATTCACGATGAAGAATGTGAAGATCCAAGTTCTAGGTTAGGTTTTGCCCCTCCTTGGTGGATTAGGCTCCCTTAATCTCCCTGATAGTCTGGAAAACAAGGGACCTGGATATCCTAGTCACCTCTGGGGAAAGCACTAAACTCATCTGATAATCCTATGATGAGACCCAGGAGACAAAGCCAAATGTGTGTTTGCTGTGCAGCCAGGTGCGTATGTCTGTCTGTAAATGTGAAGAGAGATGAAGGTGTCCAGAGCTTCCTAGAGATGGACGTAGGGACCTGGGGAGGTGAGGAGGCAGGAGGGTCTTCAAAGCAGAGAGGACACAGATAAGCAAGTCACCCCAGAGGCCGACCAGAACACCCACAGTTTCCAGGTTAGAGCTCTACAAGAGGAGGTCCTGGAAAAGCAGAAGCAGCCTGGCCAATCCTGGTTTAAAATCTTTTGCCAGAAGTAACTCTAAGGAAAAATATTAAGTAATTCAGTAATATTAATATTAAGCAATTAAGGAAAAATATTAAGTAAAGGTTAGATTTTCTCAAGGAAAAGTCAATTTGACAAATAATCCGTTGAGATGTAAGAAGTTCATCTTAGGCTGGGGAGCTAGAGGAAGTAGGAAAGTCCAGTTCCCAGAATCTGTGAAACCTGGGAGTGGTGGCACACCTGGTGACCCCAGTGCTGGGCAGGTGGGGACAGGAACCCTCTGGACAACCACCCTCGTCCATCGGATAAGTCTCTGACCTTGTCTTCAAAAGGAGGAGGAATGGAAGGGTGGATTCAATCGATAAGCATATTGCTTGCTCATCTTTGCCATGACTGGGTTCAAGCCTCTGTAGACAGGTCAGGCATCTCAGGTCACGTGGCCTCTGTGGCAGCTGCTCAGCTCTCTAGTAGCACAAATGCAGCTAGGAATAAAGAACAATGGGAATGGGTATGAGTACAGCAACCTGGATTTGCTCCTCGGTCAGCAGCATATCCCTCCTTGACCAGCAGGAGGCAGGACAGCAACCTGGATTTGCCCCTCGGTCAGCAGCATAGCCCTCCTTCACCAGCAGGAGGCAGGGTGTGTGAGGCAGAAGCTAACGTGCTAAGAAAGTTCAGCTCAAAAACCAACAGAAGATCACCTGCGACTCAGGCTGGGCAGGATCAACTGAGACTCACAAGGAGGGTGGCGGTTTAGAAAGAGGAACACTGAACAGTGTGGGACCCTCACCCCTTATTCTCAAAGGGGCGAGAAGAAATTTCCTAATAGAATGTTCTCCCAGCCAGATAGTGGCCTCCCCCTCTCCCACCGGGAAGATTCTGAGCACAAGGTCACTCAGCTTAGCCAGCCAGCCACCTGGTGAGAACGAAGCAGGGTGGGACAGAGCAAAAGACCTTGCACCTGGGCCAAAAGCAGCTTCAAAAACCCTCTTTGTAGTGACACTTTTAAAAGCTTACCCCACAGAGGAGATACAACTCCTCTCCCTACCTTGCTGTAATGGGGTCAGTACATGTTTGTTCAGGGGTTCCAAACATGTTTGTATTATGCTGATTAAACCTTGCTTATTACAGTCTGGGCCTCTCTGGTGGTCTCTCTCTGGGGATTGGAAGATTCCAGTCATGGATTTAAAGAGGGAACAGGTCAGCCTGGGTTCTGGGACTTTCCCGGTCACATTCACACTTTCTTCTGCATCTAAAGCTGGAGACCATGCGGTCAGCTCAACCACAAACACTTGTAATTGAACAGAATTTGTTGACTTCGCAGAGGAAAAAGACATAATGGGGCAGGGGGCAGGGGCATGAGCCCTCTTGGTAAGAAGGATTTAGAAAAGACCCTGGGATTTGGGCTGTGGTAGATTATTTGGGGAGACTTCAAGGAAGCAGAGCTCTGCTCTGGGCTGGACATAGGGACAACCCTATAAGGGGCATCTTGACTCTTTTCCAGTTGATAAGGAAGGAAGGGAGGGAGGGAGGGAAGGAGGGAAGAAAGATAGAAAGGGAGAGAGAGAGAGAGAGATGCTCAGGTTAGCCAGAAAAGGGAACGTAGTCATTTTTTGGGTTTGGACATTGTTCCTACTTTTCTCCTCTACTCAAACATGATCACAGAGGAGCTTTTTTCTTGTCCTCATTCATTTTGTCTGGTCTTGACATTCTGTGGTGTAATACAGAATACACAAAGAACTCTCTCAGCTTGGCCTCAAGCACCGCCCCAACTCCCCAGACACCAAGGCCAACGTCGATGTCAAGGGCCCTGCTCTCTTCTCTCTCTCTCTCTCTCTCTCACACACACACACACACACACACACACACGTGTGTACTGTTTCAGAGACACTCCTAAAAGTCCGTGCAGGGAACTCTGTTGTAGAATATGTTAAGGTGTGTTACATTTGTTTATACTGTGGAATATTTGTTTAAGTATGTAAAGATGCATTTTTTTTGTTTATGCTGCATTTGTTTAGCTCTGTGCAGCTGTGATTCTTTGCCTGTCTACAGCGCCTGATGGCCTAATAAAGAGCCGCACAGCCAATAGTGAGGCAGGAGTAGGGAGAGGCGGGACTGGCAGACAGAAAGAATAAATAGAAGGAGAAACCAGAAGAAAGGAGCAAGATAGAACAAGGAGAGGAGGATTTCGGGGGACAGTCACCCAGCTACACAGCCAGCTACTCAGCTACACAGCCACCCAGTCACCCAGCTACACAGCCAGCCACTCAGCTACACAGCCACCCAGCCACACAGCCACCCACCCAGCTACACAGCCACCCAACCACACAGCCACCCAGCTACACAGCCAGCCACTCAGCTACACAGCCACCCAGTCACCCAGCTACACAGCCAGTCACTCAGCTACACAGCCACCCAGCCACCCAGCTACACCACAGCCAGCCACTCAGCTACACAGCCACCCAGCCACCCAGCTACACAGCCAGCCACTCAGCTACACAGCCACCCAGCCACCCAGCTACACAGCCAGCCACTCAGCTACACAGCCACCCAGCCACCCAGCTACACAGCCAGCCACAGAGCAAGAGTGAAAGTCAAATACAGAAGTAAGAAAAGAAAAAAGCCCAGTGGCAAAAGGTAGACAGGGTAATTTAAGAAAAGTTGGCTACCACAAGCCAAGCAGAGGCCGGGCGTTCCTAAGATAGAATAAGCCTCCGCGTGAGCGATTGTCTAGGAGTTGGGTGTTGGAGCCAAAAGAGTAAAAGAGCAAAGAGTAAGGAGTAAAAATAAAAGCCACCAACTAGAGACTGCTCAGCAGGGAAAACCTGTCTGAAAAGCTGACTATTGAACAGCCCAATCTGAAGGTTCCTAAGGACACAAAACAACTCTGAGGCCTTTCTGAGGACTTTTCCTACTCTCAAAACTCATTAAATGCAGATAGCATGACAGGAACACATCAACAGAACGTGATCTTTAAATTTAATAGGAAGATGCATCGCTTCTTTACAGGGCTGAAGCGAGCTCGGTTGGTAAGATTCTTGCCTTGCCAGCCTGAGAACTGAGTTCGAGCCTCTAAACTTACATTTTTTTTTAACCAGCTAGCTGACATATGCTTCTAAGCCCAATGCTACTCGACAGGTGGGTCTTGGCGAGCTCTCTGAACAGTCATCAGCCTAGGCAGCTTGGGGAGTTTGGGGACAGCGAGAGACTCTGTCTCAAAAGTTTAAAAAGGTGGACACCACCAAAGGAAAGACATTTGAAGTTGTCTTCTGGCCTCCAATACAGGCGCTAACATGTACATGTGCATGCACTCACACATGCACACACACACACACACACACACACACACACACACACACAGGCCTGGAGCTTATGGTGCTGAGAAGTGGAGGGCCAGAACACACGCCCAAGGCCTCTGACTGGGCCCACTGCTCTTCTACCACACAGGCAAACAAAGTACAGAGAAATCAGTCTGGGCTCCCTGTGCAAAAGCATGTTCGTACAGCCAGAACTGTTCAAAGAGAATACAGAACTCTCTAGATGGGACCAAGCTCCCAGCCCTGGAGATGACCAAGCAGAGTCCAGACACTACCTTCCAGAAATACTGCATGGGCAAGGAGGGGTCAGACCTTGGTAATGTCCAGTGTCCTTACACCCATGAGAGACATTTAATAACGAGGAACATTTCACCTTCTTAGCTCTCCGTTCTCACAACTGAAAAACAGAAGTGCTAACAATTCCCAGTTGAAGGATTTCTGTAACAGACAACACTTATGAAATGGGCAGCACAATAAAAGTGTCTCGTGGTGGGTAGTGACTGGCCAACTTGACAGTGTCTGGCAGCCTAGACTGCAGGACTCTGAACAGGCCTTAAGGGATTTCTCTCTTGGTTCAATGAGGTGGGAAGGGTCACCCTAAAGGTAGGTGGTACCACCCCCAGGACAGGGTCCTGCACAGAATAAGAAGGAAAAGATGAGCTAAGCACCCATCTCTGTGTGTCCCAACTACAGGTGGACCAGCTGCCTCATGCTCCTGACACCCCATCCCCTTCACTGCTGTGGGCTGCACCCTCAAACTCTGAGTCATGACACCCTCCCTTCCTTAATGTGGCTTTCGTCGGGTGTTTTCCACAGCAGTGAAAAGGTAACCAGTGTACTTGTGGTTCACTAATAGCATGTTTCCTGGCATGCCACAAGTGACAAACTAAAAAGGCAAAAAACTTCCAGTAATAAACTGTTAACATTCACCATTTCCCCAGAAGGCCTGTGATCGGCCCCTCCTCACTGCACAGGCAGCATAAGGAACCCAGGACTCCAAAACAGAGTCAGAGTCACAGCACCAGCCCTCCTCTCCTCTGCTGGTGGCCTGAGGTGCCCTCCCATCAGCTCCCTGACAGAAGGGAGGAGGGGCTACTCTGCGGAAATAGTATGAAGAAGTGAGATACCGAACCATGAGTCAGAAGAGGCGTCCCCAAGAGCCCAGTACAAAGGAACCCCGATTCCACTGCTGCGTAACTTCTGCTTATCTGTGTGACCCTGGGAAAGTTCTAGAACCACACCCATAAAGTGAAAGTGTCCTTCTCGGCCCTGCCAGCTGCCAGATGCAAAGGTTAGAAACTGCTTGTGTGTCAGCCACGTAGCAGTGACCATGGCTGGCTGCCGGGCTTCACCTCCTCTCTGTGCCTCCCTTCTCTTTTGCAAAAGAGGTGGTAGGTCTCTCCAGGCCCCACCTAGAGATCTGCGTGGGGATGAACAGATCAAAGAGATGGAAAGGGCTGGGGAGACAGCTCAGCAATGAGGAGCACGGGCTGCTCTTGCAGAGGACCTTAGCTCAATTCCAGCACCCACATGGTGGCTCAGAACCGTCTGTAACTCCAACCCGGGGAAGCTGACACCCTCTTCTCACTTCTGTTGGTGCACATACATGCTGGCAAAACACTCATACATAATAAATAAGCAAATAAATAATAAAGCTTTAAAAAGAGAGTGAAGCGCATTTCAGCTTTAGAACAAAAACAAGCAGTCGGGCAGTCTTGGTTCCTTTACATGTTGCTGCTGTGAAATATCCGACCAAAGCAGCTTAGGAAGAAGGACACACTGTGGCTCGCAGTTCCAAAGAGGCACAGTCTGCCACACTGGGGCAACATGGCAGCAGGAGAGTGAGGTGGGCTGGTCACACCATGGGGGTAGTCAGGAAGCAGAAAGAGAACAGGAAGTGGAACTGAGCTACAAAACCTCAAGGCCCACCCCCCCGTGACATGCTTCTGTAAGTCACCACTCCTCAAAGATCCCACCACCTTCCCAAACAACACTGCCTGGGAGCTACAAGTACACAGACACGGGAGCCTGTAGGGGACACTTCACATTGAAACCACTCACAGCATCTTCGTGCTGAGATATTACAGAAACTGGACTATGCTCTTAAAGTTTATAGGCCCAGAGATACTGTGTCTTCGTTAGGGTTTCTACTGCTGTGAAGACAG